GGTGTTCAGGAGGGGTGAGTGCTTGGGCATAGGGGGGGGTGGGTGCCCCCTATATAGTATATATACTATAAAGAAAAAGAATAAAAATAATAAGTCTGGTGCAGCAGTAGAAGGTTTTGTGCTCCCAGGGAGTAAGTGGTATGTATTTTATAATTTTTATTTAAATTGTTTTTTTACTCCCCGGGAGCACAAAAGGTTCTACTGCTGCTTTTTCTAAGTTTAACTTTGAAGCTAGAAAGCAAAGCAAGAAGTTAGAGAGGAGAGAAATGAGTTAAAGTTTGAGGGAAAGAAAATAGAGAGAGACTGAAGAGAAACAAAGTCCGAGTCACAGAGAAAAGGGAAAGAGAGGGGGAGCAAAAAGAAACTAAGTCCAAGTCAAGAGTCAAAGAGGGAAAGAAAATAGAGAGAGTGAAGAGAAACAAAGTCAGAGTCAGAGAGAAAAGGGAAACAGAGGGGGAGCAAAAAGAAACTAAGTCCAAGTCAGAGAGAAAAGGGAAACAGAGGGGGAGCAAAAAGAAACTAAGTCCAAGTCAGAGTCAGAGAGAAAAGGGAAACAGAGCCAAAGTGAAAAGAAACTAAGTCCAAGTCCCAGAGAAAAGGGAAACAGAGTGGGAGTGCAAAGAAACTAAGTCCAAGTCTAAGTCAGAGGTACAGAGAAAAGGGAAACAGAGTCAAAGTGAAAAGAAACAGAGGGACAGCGGAGAGAAACCAACTCTATTTCTTTTCTGTCTAACTCAGAGGCAGAGAGAAAGGAAACGGAGACAATCCCTGTTCACCGTAACTCAGAGTTACGGTGGAAAGGAATCGAGTCCAGTTTGCTTTCTGTCTAACTCAGAGCTAGAGGGAAAGGAAACAGAGTTGGAGTGAAAAGAAACCGAGGGAGAGTGGAGAGAAACCAACTCTATTTCTTTTCTGTCTAACTCAGAGGCAGAGAGAAAGGAAACGGAGACAATTCCTGTTCACCGTAACTCGGAGTTACGGTGGAAAGGAATTGAGTCCAGTTGCTTTCTGTCTAACTCAGAGCTAGAGGGAAAGGAAACAGAGTTGGAGAGAAAAGAAACAGAAAAATAGAGTGAGCAACAGTGACAGAGACTTAGAGAAAGTTAGAAAGAGATTGAAAAGCAAGAAATAGATTGAAAATAATGACTACACCACACCAAAAACACAAGAGCCAGGGGGGAGTGGTGGTAGGGGGGCAAGGGGGATGAAAGTTTATTCACCTTTATTTAATGAATTTATTTACACTACAGCAAAACACAGAGAAACTGGAGACAAATGCATTACAATACAATCCATGTACACACTGAAAAATCCCTAATTCACATACAGAGTAATGCAGCAAATGCAAATACAGAACAATACAAGCCAAATACATATTAACAGAATATAACTATTTCTACAGTTCTGGAAAGGTCAATACATGCTGTTTCATTATTACTGCTATGCCAAACCACAAGGAGCACACAGAAAACACAATACTCATTCACCACAGAAGCCGGCTTCAGCTCGCACACGTACTCACCTTCACTCTCCTCTCCACCGCCCCGTTATAATCCTGCTGTCGGTGGTCCTCGGGAACGTGGTTCCCGGGAGCCTGAAAACCAGCCTGCCTGACGAAAACCTCGGTCCGGGGCCGGTCCGTGCCCAAACTTTGGCGATGACTGTCGCCTCGCAGACCGGCCGGGACCGAGGAAAAAAAACCCCAGCTGGGAGGGAAAAAAAAAAACCCCCCCAGCTGGGGATTTTTTATTCTAAATTTAAAAGTGAATTGCAAGTCCTGAAAAGCAAAAGCCATACATACCAGGTTAGAACCACTCGACACAAACACACACCCCCCTCCTTCCCCACGGGAACTCGGTTCCCGGGGGGCCTCCAATTCAGCCTGCCTGACGAAAACCTCGGTCCGGGGCCAGTCCGTGCCCAAACTTTGGCGATGACTGTCGCCTCGCAGACCGGCCGGGACCGAGGAAAAAAAACCCCAGCTGGGAGGGAAAAAAAAAAAACCCCCCCAGCTGGGGATTTTTTATTCTAAATTTAAAAGTGAATTGCAAGTCCTGAAAAGCAAAAGCCATACATACCAGGTTAGAACCACTCGACACAAACACACACCCCCCCTCCTACCCCACGGGAACTCGGTTCCCGGGGGGCCTCAAACTCAGCCTGCCTGACGAAAACCTCGGTCCGGGGCCGGTCCGTGCCCAAACTTTGGCGATGACTGTTGCCTCGCAGACCGGCCGGGACCGAGGAAAAAAAACCCCAGCTGGGAGGGAAAAAAAAAAAACCCCCCAGCTGGGGATTTTTTATTCTAAATTTAAAAGTGAATTGCAAGTCCTGAAAAGCAAAAGCCATACATACAAGGTTAGAACCACTCGACACACATGCACACAAGCAGACCCTGACCCACCGACTCTCACAGACAGACACACTCTGACACGCAGCAGGAGACTAACTCGCACAGTGACCGCAACCCTTATTTGAAACACTCTGCTAAACAAAATGCCCTGAGATATCTTCTCACTGCTGCTTCTCAACATAAAACGGTAGATCCTCAGAAAATAGGCATCAGAGACCTGCAAGACAACACAAGGTGGTCAGTGAGGAATTCTATGGTAGCTATGACTCAGCCACCCTCTAGGCCCACATATTTTCTACACAAAAACCTGATAGAAAAAAGGACCTGTAACCTTTTATAATTGTTCCACCTAACTCTAACTATGTGCCAGGGCAGGGCAGCTCCAAACCAATGCAGTTAAAGTTAAGTTACAGAGGCAGGCACAATGCAGTTAAAGTTAAGTTAAGTTACAGAGGCAGGCACAATGCAGTTAAAGTTAAGTTAAGTTACAGAGGCAGGCACAATGCAGTTAAGGTTAAGTTAAGTTACAGAGGCAGGCACAATGCAGTTAAGGTTAAGTTAAGTTACAGAGGCAGGCACAATGCAGTTAAGGTAACTTAAGTTACAGAGGCAGGCACAATGCAGTTAAGGTAACTTAAGTTACAGAGGCAGGCACAATGCAGTTAAGTTACAGAGGCAGGCACAATGCACTTAAGTTACAGAGGCAGGCACAATGCACTTAAGTTACAGAGGCAGGCACAATGCAGTTAAGTTACAGAGGCAGGCACAATGCAGTTAAAGTTAAGTTAAGTTACAGAGGCAGGCACAATGCAGTTAAAGTTAAGTTAAGTTACAGAGGCAGGCACAATGCAGTTAAAGTGAAGTTAAGTTACAGAGGCAGGCACAATGCAGTTAAAGTGTAAGTTAAGTTACAGAGGCAGGCACAATGCAGTTAAGTTAAGTTACAGAGGCAGGCACAATGCAGTTAAGTTTTACAGAGGCAGGCACAATGCAGTTAGTTTTACAGAGGCAGGCACAATGCAGTTAGTTTTACAGAGGCAGGCACAATTCAGTTAGTTTTACAGAGGCAGGCACAATGCAGTTAGTTTTACAGAGGCAGGCACAATGCAGTTAAGTTACAGAGGCAGGCACAGTGCAGTTAAGTTACAGAGGCAGGCACAGTGCAGTTAAGTTAAGTTACAGAGGCAGGCACAATGCAGTTAAAGTGAAGTTAAGTTACAGAGGCAGGCACAATGCAGTTAAAGTGAAGTTAAGTTACAGAGGCAGGCACAATGCAGTTAAAGTTAAGTTAAGTTACAGAGGCAGGCACAATGCAGTTAAAGTTAAGTTAAGTTACAGAGGCAGGCACAATGCAGTTAAAGTTAAGTAAAGTTACAGAGGCAGGCACAGTGCAGTTAAAGTTAAGTAAAGTTACAGAGGCAGGCACAGTGCAGTTAAGGTAACTTAAGTTACAGAGGCAGGCACAATGCAGTTAAGTTAAGTTACAGAGGCAGGCACAATGCAGTTAAGTTAAGTTACAGAGGCAGGCACAATGCAGTTAAGTTAGGTTACAGAGGCAGGCACAATGCAGTTAAGTTAGGTTAAGAGGCAGGCACAATGCAGTTCAAGTTAAGTTAAGTTACAGAGGCAGGCACAATGCAGTTCAAGTTAAGTTAAGTTACAGAGGCAGGCACAATGCAGTTCAAGGTTAAGTTAAGTTACAGAGGCAGGCACAATGCAGTTCAAGTTAAGTTAAGTTACAGAGGCAGGCACAATGTAAGTTAAGTTACAGAGGCAGGCACAATGCAGTTAGTTTTACAGAGGCAGGCACAATGCAGTTAGTTTTACAGAGGCAGGCACAATGCAGTTAGTTTTACAGAGGCAGGCACGGTACAAGGCAGTCGCAGGCGATGTCTGCCGGGTGAACGTGGCGATAGCTGCAGATGCGAAGGCCGGTTCCTCGGACGAAAAAATCCACGACGACGTCGAGAGGCTGAGATGGCCGATGACGTGAAATGTGAGAGAACGAGAAGATGGATTGGAAATGCCCTGCCCGGCAAAAGCTCTGGGGAGCTTGCAAAGAAACCCTCTCCTTTGGCTTCAGAGGGGCCTATCCCACTAGAGCCCTGTCCTCTAACTTAACTTCAAAATGCCAACTCACCTGCTCATCTCTGCTCCTTGCCGTGCTCGGGGCAACGCCGAATCCTGCAAAGACAGAGAAGAAAAAAGCACTCTGAGTTACTGTCACAATGCACAAGGTGGAATTCCCGATGTGGTTCCTTTATTCCATCTGGGACTACAAAAGCTTGTCAGCCAACCAGGGACTGAAACAGAAGAAAAACCACTCAGTCCCACCTCTCGTACCCAAAGATCCCCTGTAAAGTTCTGAAGACAGAGCCCTCAAACGAGTGTGGGGTGCTTTGCCCTGAGGCATGTGCTGTTTTTAACAAATTCGAGTCACCTCCCTTGCTTTCTAGACACTGCTCACCAGCGTGGCAGGCTAGGGGCGGCTGAGGCGAAACATCTTTCCCCTGATAATGACTGCACGATAAACCTGCAACCCCTTCTGTCTCTCAGAATCCTGTCCGTGACACCGATTCGTGTCAGGATCTACAAGGTGGGATTTGTGATGTGATTCTCTCATTCTATCTTAGAGAACTAAAGATTAGCAGCAAACCAGGGACTTTAAACAGAAAAACCTCTCAGTCCCACTTCTCATACTCAAAGATCCCCTG